GCTGTTTGAGAAATATCTGGAATTTTGAGAACAGTCATTCTTCTTGCGAATAAAGAAATTATGAATAACATGACCTCTACTAAACCTGAAATCCTGTTTTTGAACATTTATAGTTAATATATCTATTTTGCCCAATAAGCATTTATACTTAAATCTCTTCATTCCAAAAGCAATAATATTTCTCCCTCATTCCCAGGGCTTATTCACTCATAAATCAGAAAAACATATTCTTAGAGTGTGCTCAGACAATGGAATTTTTCCGCAGGACTATGCAATTGTAAAAAAATTGTTGAAAGAGGGAGCCATAAAAAAATTTTGCCGCTGGATAGTTGCCGTTGAGAAGTGATTCGGCAGACTGCAGTGCCCAGGTTGACCCTGGAAGCGCAGGTGCGATGGAATCCACAAAGAAATAGTTTAAGAGATTAAGAGAGAAAGCAAGAATGAGAAAAGATGTTTCGGTCCATTAAGTAGGCCTGTAATAGACAGAGAATATAAAAGTGATCTGATTTCTTTTTTTTTTGGCATAATCTATGTAAGAAAAAGACCCTACGGGCTGTTTGGGCCCTGTGGGCGGATGGAATTTGGAAATGTAGGGGCTGAACCGGTACTGAGTGGCTCTAAGTAGGACGTGCATAAGATGACGTAGATCCAAAACTCGTTGAATTTTATTAAATTGGAAGGGGAAGGGAAATATAATAGGGTGAAGAAGATAGTAGTGTTGAACATATAACTCAAAAAAAAGATGACATATGACTACTATAAACTGAGAAGCAGTCCATGTACTATTTGATGGGTTCAGAACGCTTCCCATTCAGTACTCCATTTAGTGTAAGGACCCAGAAACAATTCCAGGAATGCACATTTGAACTCGAAGCTTTCAGATGTGCATTTTTGGAAATATGCTGTTTCAGATGCCCATGGTATCAGGATCAAATAATACAGTGAAATTTCTGACCGTTATTTGTTGCCCAGGCGTTAATGAAGCAAGCCATCCCGAACATAGGCCATAGTGATGATAACGTCGCCCATCAATTGCTTCAAAACGCATCAACGAAAAAACGAAACGAAGTTGTTTATTCCAAAGTTCTTTTATGCATGTGACACTGTACGGCCGAGGAATCAAACGTGGTAATAATTCTGAAAAGTGAGTTGTCCAAAAACAGAGTACCGACAAAACATAAATGGCCAGCGCACTAAGTGCCGGTGCGAAGATGCGTTTTTTGCATAGTTCCCAGCAGTTTTTGTCGCTACTGGCACCGGTTTTTCCGGCAAATGCTTTTAGTTAAGAGAATTAAGATTGGCCACCGGGGCTCTCTAAAATACCCCTTTAAAATCTCAGCCTTTTTAGCTTTCCTGGTTTCCGAGTTAGCAACTTACCCTAAAGGAACTTTGGCGGGCTCGTACGTGGGCACACACGAGTAAGAGCGCCCATTTTGGAGACTGAGGCCCGTACATGCATGTCGATTAAGCTCTCAAAGTTTCAGCCCTGTAGCTTTTGCAGGTCTCGAGATGGAAAACCAGTACAGACAAACACACATACAAACACATGCATACACACACACACATGCACGCATACACACACACACAGAGACAACTCCTCGTCAATATGCGTCTTCTGCATTGCATAAATGCGAAAAATGCATAGAAAATGTGAAGCAGGACGCAAAAACTAACCGATTAAGCGTTCAGGAGACGGCCGACATGAAGGGAAATCCAACAGAAAATCCACCAATGACAGGCCGGCCTGAAAAAATCATTTCGCAATGATACTGTGCAATATCGTTGCTCAAAAGTCACAGAGCAAACCAAAACTTTTACTGTTGGCTATGGATTACATTTTCTTTCCATTCGCTCATGACCCAATTCCACCCTGCTGATAACAGGAAGCTGCCTGGGATCACAAAGGTAAAAAAGTAGAACAGTTTTAATTTTAACGAAACATTCAGCGCGAGCATTAGAAGTACCTTCTCCACATTGAGCTCTTGGTTTGTATTCATCAGCAAGAATGGCAACCAATACACTAAGTTTATAAGATAGCTAAACACTGACTGATCCAGAGGAGAGGGGGGTC